CTGTGTAATTCTGTAACTTTATTAGCAGCGTCCTCCTGAAATGCACCAACGACATTGAGAGTAACATCCTCCTCTCTGCCCCTTAATGCTCTCAGGTCGCTATGGTAACGTGTAAGCATTTCTTTCAAAATAAGACGCACAACTACAACACGAGAGAAAAGACCCAGGTAAACCAAGTTACGATAAAAACCCTGAAAACCATAAATTTTACACCTGAGCCTCAACTCTCACGGCCCGGTACCAAACCACTCAGGGGTGGTGACCACTGCCTTAACTAACTCTATGCTAAATACCTGCAGACGTCCAAAGGCCCGCCCATCAGCCTGCGTGCCACCCTGTGGTCACTGCTTTAACAGATTCAGGCTGATTGTTTTCATTTCTTCATCTTTGAAACCAGATGTGACATGTGAGGAAGTGCCCTCTGTGACATCATCAGGGACTATAAGTCATGTTTTATCCTCTGGACATGAGGCTTTTATTCTGAAGCAGCCGTTATCTGTGTTTCCTGTTTCCTGCTGTTTTTACCCAGACCCGTGAAATGGTTTAGACTTTGGATGCTTTATTTTATGTCGTTTCTGTGTCTTCAGTCTAAACTCTGTAGCTTAAGAGATGAGCACAGAGCCGGATTCTTCTTCTCCTCGGAGTTAAATCTTGGATGTTTTCCTCCCTCTGGATGAAAATTTTCCGCTCTTTGTTTCTTAAACTGTGGATTTCGATCCTGACGGGGTCATAGATTCTATTTCTGGAAGGTCTGTGCTTCAGAAAGGAAATAGGTTTGTCTCAATTAGTCTCCATCCCAGGGAGAGGAATGCCTTCCCTCTCATCTGGGTCCCAGGCCGGAGCGCCTGAAATCCTCGGGTTTACCCATAATCCTTTATTCCACCGAGCGTTTTGCCCTTCACTTTGACCTGCCTCGAAGCAGCTGAAGACTTTTGTTCTGAAACGAAAAATCGGCCGTTTGAAAAGCATCTCGAGCACCGTGACTGACAGGAAGTGGTGACGGCGCGCTGTGAAACTGACAGCGTCGGGCTCAGAGATCATTTCAGGTCATTTTAGATATCAAATTCAAATTCAAATTCAAATTCAAATTTTATTTGTCACGTACACAGTCATACACAGTACGATATGTAGTGAAATGCTTGGACAACTGCTCGTGACCTAAAGAAAACAAAAAAAGGAAAAGGCTATGAATAAGATAGGAAATAAATATGAAAAATTAAAAAGGGTAAATTTAACTAGGAAGGAATAAAATATAAATTAAGGTTAAAAATGAAATAACTGTACAACACAAATTAGAATGAAGGGTAAATTTAACTGGGAAAGAATAAGATAAAATATATAAATTAAAGTTGAAAATAAAATAACTGTACAACAAAATACACAATATAGAACTATATAAGAATGTATGAAGAAATCTAAATATAAATAAATATATACACAATAACAGCAGCTGTACAAGTATTAACCGGAAATGAAGAATATAGTGACCAGTGTTGTGCAAAACCAAAGTCCAGAAAGTCCAGTGTGTGTGTAAGAACTGTATGTGTGGGTCAGTACTGTGTGGTGGTGTGATTGAGAGACCGTATCGCCTGCGGGAAGAAGCTCCTCCTCAGTCTCTCTGTGTTGGTCTTCAGGGAGCGGAATCGCTTTCCTGACCTCAACAGTCTGTTGTTGGGATGGCTGAGGTCCTTCACGATCTTCCTGGCCTTGGTCCAGCACCGCCTGCTGTAGATTGAGTGCAGGTCAGGGAGCTCGGAGCGGATGGTGCGCTCAGCTGACCGCACAACCCTCTGTAGAGCTCGTCTGTCCTGCATGGTGCTGTTCCCGAACCAGGTTAAGATGTTTCCCGCCAGGATGCTCTCTATGGTGCAGGAGTAAAAGTTCCTGAGCACCTTGGAGGGCAGTTGGAAGTCTCTCAAGCGTCTGAGGTGGTAGAGACGCTGTCGGGCCTTTTTCACCACGGTGTTGATGTGACAGGACCATGACAGGTCCTGCGTGATCAGAGTGTTTATGTAGAAAACATCAGTATGAACATTTGAACTATTTAATCACGTTGCTCTGAGGTTGTGCTCTAGCTCAGGTTTTCAATAATAATAAATGTCAGACGTTCGATTTATGAAAGAAAAAAACACCTGATGCCAGCTCCGACTGACACACCTGAACAGTCTCATGTTTACAGCTCGCTGCAGTTCCTCTGACGTCCAGCAGGGGCTCCAGCAGCGAGTCCGTCCCCCCACACTGCCATGTTAAAGCCTTACAGCAGAAATAAACATGTTTACACCCTGACAAAAAACTGTTTGGGCCTCTGTGTCTGTTTTACCACTTGATGTTTGGGGGCGTGGCCTCTTGGGCTCACCTGTGGTAACTGGATTTCCGGAGCTTGACCCGTGGACCGTGTTCACGTCTGAGCTCCGGCTCTGAGGATTGAAATTCCTGGATTTTATTGGGATGTCTTCCACCCAAACAAACACCTGTGAGAGATTCGGGGCCGGTGCGGTCCGCCTCTGACTCTCATCAAATGTGGGAATGTTTTTAGGAGGAACGCTGTTCGTCTCTCCAGCAGAGTTTCACAGACTTGCAGAATCGATATTAAGCAGCACTACAGCTGTTTTGGCCGGCAGCCTGCTCTCCAGTCTCAGAGTGCAGTCCTGCTGCACTCGGTCTCTACCCCCGCTTATTACTGTGCAATCCATGGAAATGTATTTTCAGTTACACTTATGGCTTACAGCAATTATGGAAGCAACATAATCAAGACAGAGCAATTATTTCTCTGCATTCCTTTTTTGCAGTGCAGCTCTCATTGGCCTCCTGATTGTGTCCTCCTCTAAAGTCTCAAACTCTCTGCTGTCACGAGGAGCAGGTTCAGCTCATAGTCTGCTGACAGGAGGACACTTTGATTAACGAGGACATGAGAAGACGTCCAAAGGTCGAGTTATCGCCTGATTAATCCTGATCAAACGATGATGACTGTTACTGTTGTATACCACCGTGCTGATTTCCATCCATCCTCCGCTCTGTGAAGATAAACCTGAAGGAGTCTGAGGAGTCGGGCTCAGCTGCCCAAACTCTTGTTGGGCATTTTGTCTACAGGTGGCTTAGTTTACACACAGGAGGAGGCGGCCATACCTGCTGAAGTGCTGCAAAGCCACAAACAGCAGCTTTAGTCCATCTGCTGCCTTCAGGGAATCACACAGAGAGACCGGAGGAGAGCTTTCCCCTCCGATCAATGAAGTCTCAAAAATAACTGAGGAAAGAGTGTGTGTGTGTGTGTGTGTGTGTGTGTGTGTGTGTGTGTGTGTGTGTGTGTGTGTGTGTGTGTGTGTGTGAGAGAGAGAGGGCACAGGTGTGTGTTGTAGGCGGTCACATAAGGTTGTAACGATTTATTGACAGCATTAAGTTGAAGTCTTGAATAATAGAGAGGAGTCCACTGAAGTATCTCACACACACCACACACACACACACACCACACACACACACACACACGTATGCCTTCCTGTTATGGTGAGGACCAAACAAAATGTCCTCACAATTCCTGAACCAAAGTATCAGAAAACCTCACAGGCATCACGTGTCCTAACAAACGCCACTGAGAACAAAAACAGGGCAGTCTCACAGACCTGAGACCCCCGAGCAACCACAGGTCACTATAGGGTTAAATTCCCCAACAAGTAGTTGCAAAGGTGGTGCTGCACCAAAAGCTTCCTTGCGGTGTCTTTGGTCCATGTTGGATTGCTCCGGTCGCCCATGGTTTGCATGGAAGTTGCCAACTACTCATGGAGCAGCAGTGAAACTGTGAGAAGTGCCACACAAACTAAAGAACAGAAACCATTCGCTTTGAAAGTAAAGGTTCGGCTTTATGAACCCTGTTGGTCGGAGTGGTAATGAAGACAAGTCTGTTTTTACGTATTGTTGCTGATTGGAGTTTGTGGAAACCACAGCCACTCCAACAATCTGCTCACGACCAACACAATCACAGGAAGGGTTTTGGTGCGGTCCCCTCTGTATGGACGATTTCAGCCGACAGCCTGGGGTCACCAACCAGTCTGCAGTGAGGCCAAAGGAAGTCCTAAGGAAGAAGCTAACTGAACTTTCAGCATAAATATATGGTGTATGGAACAATGAGACATGCTGGGTTTTATAATATACTTTTACATTTCTGTTGGATAAAATTTGCTATTGTGATTCGAGCTGTCAAATCTTTGAGGTTTCTAAGCCTCACAGATCGTTTTAACTGGTCAAAATGTCCCCGTTTCTAAAAATACCCTCAGTGCTGGAATCTGTTCTTTCTGTAAATTGAGCGAGACGTGCTCAGACGCTCTGCTTCCTCCTTTGTCCTCTCAGAGTGATGACAGACCGGCTGCGTCGAGTTTGATTTAGGATGGTGTGGTGGTTCATCGGCAGTCCATGTTTTACCTAAAGGTGATGTAGATGGGGTCAGCGTGGCCTCTCTTTGGACGAGGTCAGATGTGTTTGACACATTATTGTAAAGAAGGACTAGAATAGAAATGAGTAATTTTAGGTTTGTGTTTCGTTGCGAGTTTAGAGTTTTAGAGACTGAAGCCTTCGCGTGATTGGATGCATATTTAGACTATAAGTGATCAGTGAGGGTCCTTTGCTTATCTGATGGTGAGCCTTACGTCTTCGTCACTTCTTAAACGTGCAGTTGGGCCGACAGTGGGTGGAATATTTTTGCCATATTAAAAGCCGTAAGACTGCTTTGATAAAAACAGTAGATTTTACCCCAGACGACCCGGGAGCTGCTGGTCTGTTTGGGGTTTTGGTGAGACGCTCCACCAAGTGCTTCTCTTTTGGTCTTAAACTGTTTTATTCATCAGCATTCATTCATTCAGAGATCAGATGAAAGCGAGGTGCTAGACGGAGAAGTGTGATGCTTTTATTTTGTATGTATTTTCCACAGAGCACTTCCTCTGCCTGACTGACTAAAGTGATTCGTTAGCTTGTCTGCTGACGGCTGTTTCCTATGTTCTGTGTTTGTGCAGCGGGGGCGGGGGACAAGCTGGGCTGGGCGTTCGGTCTGGGCCTGGAGAGGCTGGCGATGGTCCTCTACAGCATCCCGGATATCCGGCTGTTCTGGAGTCAGGACGAGCGCTTCCTCAAACAGTTCAGAGTTCAGGACATCCACCAACCCGTCTGCTTCCAGGTAGACACAAACATCACACCTGAGTGGAAGAGGAGCAGATTTTCACACATAAACGCGATCGTGGCTCAAGAGTTGGGAGTTCGCCTTGCAATCGGAAGGTTGCCGGTTCGAGCCCCGGCTTGGACAGTCTCGGTCGTTGTGTCCTTGGGTAAGACACTTCACCCGTTGCCTACTGGTGGTGGTCAGAGGGCCCGGTGGCACCAGTGTCCAGCAGCCTCGCCTCTGTCAGTGCGCCCCAGGGTGGCTGTGGCTACAATGTAGCTGCCATCACCAGTGTGTGGATGTGTGTGTGAATGGGTGGATGACTGGATGTGTGAAGTGCTTTGGGGTCCTGAGGGACGAGTAAAACGCTTTACAAATACAGGCCATTTACCATCCTGAAGACGGATGAACGTACCGACTGCAGAATGAAAGAGCTAAAGTCTGTCTTCCATCCTTGTCTTCTTTTCTTTCCTGTTCTGTTTACGTGCCTTCCTCTCCTTTGTCCTTTCCTTTCACTTCTTGTTTCCTTTCATTCGTTAATGAAAGCTCCTCCCCTTGCCCTTAATTTGATCTTGTTTCCTTTTGTTTCAGTCCCATTATTTTGCTTTCGTCACCTTATCTTTTCTTCCCTCCTCTCTTCACTGCTCTCCTCGTTTCCCTTCGTCCATTCGTTTCATTTCCATTTTCCTTTGTCCTCTGCTTCCTGTTTACCCTCCGTGCAGTCTTATTGTGTCTCTGCTGTGTTCAGTCATGTCTCTCTTCAGCTACAACACCGTGTCTGTGCTTGTGTGTTCATCACTAACCTGTAATAACTGCTGGCTCGGTTAGTTTACCTTCAGATGCAATAACGAGTCCGAGTCTCTCGTAATAAAAACAATCTTCTACCGTCGTGAATTAATTCACAAATGCAGAAATTAATTTGCCGTTAACAACGTCCTCCTTGTTATACAGCCACCGTTTAAAAAAGCTGCAAACAGACTGTTTCTTATTTGTGGGCCGTGGTGATCGAGAGTCGCACATACTTCCTACCAGCCAATGACAAAGCAGCAGCCCACCTACCTGTAACCACACTTTACACCCTCACTCCGTGTGTGTGTGTGTGTGTGTGTGTGTGTGTGTGTGTGTGTGTGTGTGTGTTTTCTTGCCTCTTAACCTCATGCATAAAACATTTTGACAGTGGGGGCTCACATCAGCCGGCACCAGTCACTTCCACTGACCCCACCATCATCAACACACACACACACACACACTGTGGGGTGTGTGCAGGTTCACACAGCGGTTACTCCGTCCCCACTAAAGGTGCTCTTTGTCAACTCTCGTCTTCACTAATAAAGAACATTTCAAGTGACTGTTGGAGGGCAAAGAGGAGAAAAGAGAGGAGTAAGATGAAGAGGAGGGATGGTGGGGGTGGACGAGGCAGAAAACAGATGGAGGGAGGAAGCAGAGAATGAGGAATAAATGAGGCGAGAGGTAGGACAGAGGAAAGAAGAGGATAAGAATAGATGCAGAATCTGACTAAATGCAGTTATTTGAATAAAAGATCTTTAGATGTAAAAAAATAAAAGGATTGAGTGAAACGTAAGGTGAGAGAAAGTAGGGGGTGACATTAGTGAGGAAAAATGAGAGACAAAACACAGCTTTAATGGAAAAAATATACTGAAGCGAGTTTGAGGAAGTGATTAAAAAAAGAAATGCTTGAAATAAATAAGAGAAATAAAGTGTGGGGAAAAGGAAAAAGAGGGAAAACAGATTAAAGTGTGTCAGGAAAACAGAGGAAAATGTAAATGACTAAAGAGGCACCAAAGTCTGAGAAGGGAAAGTGGAGGAGGAACGATTAAATGGAAGAAACAAAGTGCTGAAAGATACCTTAGTAAGAATGAAGAGAGTGAGAGGAGACGCTGGAAGGGTGGTTGGTGAAAACAACGACATGAACCAGTGTCACCTTATCCAAACACAGCGTCTTTGAACCGTTTCACAACACGTGTTCATCGCACTCAGCCAACCAATGCTAAACCTTCATTAACCGCTGTCCAATCAAACCACCTGCCTAGCTAGCAAAGAAGTCACCCAACTTCCTTAACATCCGACCAACAAACCAAAAAACTGAACCGAGCAGACAACACCTCCCTCCATTGTACAGCTAATATCTGCCTGTATTTACCCCACCTAACTACCAGCTGACCTACACAATCTTTCTTCCTTGTCAGCCAACCAATCCCATCCCTTCACCAACAATGAGAAAGAGCAGCTGATGACCAACTAACTTCATTACCTACCAACTTACCTTAATACCCAACAAACCAATCAAACACTTGATGAGAAGAACTGCTGCCTTTGAAAGTACAACCTATCGTCACCTACCTGGCAGCCCAATCACGTCCTTACCTTCCTACCACCTGACCCTGATGACCTTTATTTCTAGCGGGCGGACCAATCTTCTACTTTTAGCACCAATGAAACATGCAACGAAAGACCCACTGACCTCTTTATCCGACAGCCACCAAACTAGCAAACAAACAGCCAGTTGATCTGTGAACTACCGCCTTCCAAAGAACAAGTGATGGCTGACATCACGTGCACGGTACTTTCAGAACTTATCTGGACCACTATTTTTTTGTGCTTTTGTGACAGAATCAACAAAGTTTTACTCTTAAGCTGAAGTTTGTCAGCTCACATGGACAAATATTCACTCAGTTTATGTCGTCCTCTGAGTCGGCTGGTAATAATCTCCTTTAGGTTATAATCTTACTTCATTGTCTTTTGATCTGAACAAACTGAAGGAAACGAGAGGAAATAAATTGTAAATAGCAAATGCTTTTGAAACGGCCCACAGTGAGTGCATTCAATAAAGGTTTAACTGTATCTGACAAATTACAATAAACACATAATCAGTGTTGTTAAGCTGAAGACGTGAGGAGTGAGGGAGCGACCCTGCTGTCCTCCTGCTGTCCTCCTCACAGCCCTGTAAGTTTTATTGATAAACTCTGTTTCTCCAGAGGGGCCTGGGGAGCATGGCTCATCTCCTGCCCAGGGTCAGTTCACCTCTCCTGGGCTAAGGCTCTCCACCTCTCCCCCGAAAGCCTTTACTGGCCCCCACATCCACAGGTAATGAACTGTGACCGCCCAGGGCCTAACAGGAAATAGACTCCTTGGGTGTCGGTGTGTATGTTTGTATACGCACACACACAAATGGCTTCAGGGAGCTGTGCAGTGCCACTAAACTATTATAGTGTAAACAGACGGCTCACCTCCCTCCATACGTCTGCACAGTATGGTCAGAAATATGTGGATACTTCTCTCCTCACCTACCACCTGCTGTGCAAAGTCTTTCCCTGACGCTCGACTGAGTATAAAAATATCAAATGAGACTCGTTCTTCTCTCTGTTCTTCTACCAGTTTTACTTCTGTCCTTTACTGAAATATGTATGAATTGTTTATTTAACCCTCGTGTGCAGCGCTTTGTGAAAAGCACTTAATAAATAAATGTTACAACTTTATGAATAGATGAATAAATAAAGTTTGGTTTCCAGTTCATTTATAATTAACTAACACTTACCAAAATCAGCCAATCAGTTACTTATCTGCTTGCCCAACCAGCAACCCAACCAACTAATCTATCTAACCAACCACCTACTTTAAGACGTCACGTTTTCTCAAACCTACCCAGCAAACCAACCAACTTTTACCTGCCAACCAACTGCTCAATAGGCCCCTTTCTTGCTAACCAGCCAACCTTTCATCTACCTACCTTCCTAGTTACCTAACCGAGCAATTGCCTGCCTGTGTAACCAACCATTTACCTACCTGCCTGTCTGTGTAGCTGTCTACACAGCTAACCAGTTGTTGTCTATGTTCCTTGACAACCAGCCATCTACTTTGCAAACCAGCCAACCAACAACTTGTCTTAAACCGCAACAAACAAACTAACCACTAATTGACTTTTTTGTCTAACTAATCACCTACATGTGCAGGCAACTAACCAACCACTACCTAAACCAACAACTTACAGCGAACTGGTGATACCTTTCATCCTGGGTAACAAACCAGAAATCTACCAACCACCAACTGACTGTCCAACCAATGTCAAGCCTTCACTGACAAAAACCCAAACAGCAGCTAACTGATCCATCACTGAACCACCTGCCTTCCTCCTGCAGTTAACTAAAGTAAACTAGTCTTTGATAACATATGAAACAAACTGACCAACCAACTGATCACCTTGCTGTTCTTTACCTCCACCTTTGAATTGAGCTAACTACAGCCCAGTTTCTACAGAACATAACTAAATAACATTAAGTTGGCATGTTTCACTTTTCCTTGTTTTGTTCTGACTTTTGTTTCAAAGGTGGAAAAACCAGTGTCACACAGATTGATGTGTCTCAGTGAATAGCATTAAGATGGAGAGAAAATTAAGAAAATATCATTCAGGAGCAGAAATAACAGCAACTTCTCTCACTCTGTGCAAGTTATTCTGAGCATAATAAACAAGTGACAGATGATAGGAATCTCTCCTTCAGTCTGTCGCTGCATAAAACATCACATTTATTCTGTCGTCCCGATAAAGTTTTAATGTGTTATTGTCTTTGTGTTTTACTCTCTGCTGCACTTTCTCCTCTTTCTTCCTACAGTCGGGCTGTTTCTCTTCTCCACTTTCTGTCACATTTCTTCTTCTGTTATTCATTGGGTTCTTTTTTGTTGCTTGAATCTGCACTTTCAGCTCATTTTTATTCACCTCATCTCTCAATCTCTGCAGTTGGTGTGCTGATTACCCCTTCAGTCCTTACATCTTTGTGTTTATGCTTGGTTTACTTTGAAATTCTAATGAGTCTCCAGTCCAAATATCCCATAAATGTACATGTACGAAAACTAATCAATGTGGTGCACAAAGTAAAATTTCAACATCTTTGAGGATCATTAATAACTCATAATGTGTTATTGTGAAATTAAACTATTCTTCAGGGCCTAAACATCAGCCACAAATAACCTCAGCCACGCATCTGCACATAATACATGAATCCAGATGAAGACGTTACAAAACTAAAACCACAGCGAACCAGCAGAAAAACAACAGCGTTATGCCACATTAGCACTCAATCAATTAAACATAAAACTATTACAAATATAATCCATCATGTACTTTGCAACTATTAAGTGGGTACATTAATTATCATTGCATTATTTAGTTAAAATATATTAATGCAGACCAACCAGTTCCCTATGACCTAGCTACCCATCCACCCTCCTAACTACTTACACAACCAGCCTGCCAACCAGTCTCTCTGCTAGCATGGCTAACCAGTTACATACCTGCCAGTCTACCTGTGCAAACAACCAACTGCGTGCCTGTCAATTAAGGACTCACCTACATTCATCTACCACCTTTGCAACCAACCATTCTGTGTACCTGCCAGCATGGCTCATCACTTACATAACTACACAACCAACCAACTCCTTGCCTGCTTGCTTACTTTGATAACTAACCAGTTAAGTACCCACCCATGTAGACACTTAACCAACTACCTAGCTACATACTTGTACGGCTAACTAATTAAGTAATTAATTAACTACCAATCTAAACAACCAATTCCTTTCCTTTGCTTTACTACACAACCAACTAATTGCTTTCCCACCCACCTATGTACATGACTAACCAAACATGTGATTACCAGCCTATGCAATAAACCAGTTCCCTACCTTCCTGTTTGGGTAATCAATTACTCACCTACACGACTAAATAATTGCCTGCCTAGATAACTAACCACTATTTAATGAACCAATCAAGTGCCCACCTACCTAGATGCTCATTCAACCACCTACCTATTTACCTCCATGGCTAATCAGTTACTTACCTATCGACACGATGAACCAATCGTGTGCCTAGCTCTGTTTTTCAGGGACTTTTTTGTAAAGAGAAATTATCAGTTAATATTTCCACCATTGCTTACAGTGAACATTTTTAAGTTGAGCTGTCAGTCATTGTTGTTTTATACGTTTGTTTTTCAGACGCTCAGTAAGTACCCACCTCTCCATAACGACATCTCCTTCTGGCTGCCGAACGGCAAAGAGAGCGAGGCAGGCAGAGAGAGCTTCACAGAGAACGACTTCTACGAGCTGGTGCGCTCCATCGGAGGAGACCTGGTGGAGAAAGTGTCTCTCGTGGACAATTTCACACACCCAAA